CACACACACACACACACACACACACACACACACACACACACACACACACACACACACACACATACATTCAGTGATTTCAGAAACCACAGGGTCCGAATACCTATTTTTGTGCGGTTGTGAACATGCATATAAATACAAGATTTCTCCAGTGGGATATTTATTAGTGACTGTGGAGGACCACAGACCCGACCCCCAAGACCCAAGGCAGACATAAGAGGGACCAGAGCCACCGATCCCGAGAGAGACCCCAAGCACTGAGCCCCCAAAGTCACCCGCACAGCAAGAACCACCCACCCACCCCCAGAGAGGAACACAGGAGAGAACCAGGAGAGCCCCACCAGCAGCCACATGCAGAACCCACAGGGCCAGTAGCAACGACCCCACAGGCCCCGCCGGCCCCCGCCCCACCGGAACAGATCCAGGCACGGACACAGAAACCCGGATCCCTATGGCGCCCCCCCCCCACTCCACCCAGGCCAAGGCTCGACAGGGCCAGAGGACCCAAGCCCCACCAGGCCGAGCCTGCACATGCCCAAGCATCCAGCCCCAGACACCGAGAGCCACCAGCGCACCAGAGGGCAAAGGTATAACCCACTGGAGGGCAGCACGGCCGTGGCGGCAAAAAGCCTACCATTAGCAGTGGGCCCTCAGGTGAACCAGATGAGAGGGCAGCCCGAGCCTCAGCCTGACAAATACTGAATCATACACAGACACACTCACACAGTCCCACCCTGATTCTCACAACCCCTCATTCAAAGACAAACAAGATGAACGCCACACTCCACTCACCCTCCCGATACACACTCTATACCCCCCAGGTCCATGACACGTACCCGCCCCCTACAGAGGGCAGGTCATATCCGAACCCAGGGGTAAACCCATTCATTCTGGGGTAGAGAGGCGCAGATAGCCAAGACCCGACCCAGGCTGTACCAGGTCAGCCGACCGGCCTCCCGCTGCAGCAAAGCAACACCCCCGGCCACCTCCACATGCCACCAACGGCCAAGCTCACACCCCAGCCGACCACCAGCCAGGCCCCGGCAGCCACCCCAGCCAGCGGGCCACCTATGTCAACCAGGGGCC